ACCTGTCCTCTGAAGGCTTTTACCTGGGGACATGGCCCCCGTTAAAGGCAGCGGGGTTTCTTCCCCTTTGGCTTCATCCACACGCCTTGACAACGGGAATGGCTGCAGGGGTCTTAAGGGAGTCCAATTGTCAAGGGCCAGAATAACGTTAACTTGGGGAAGAGGAACGGGAGGGAGAAGCAGAGCTATGCCGTTCGACACGAGGCAGGGACAACCTTCCTCCCCCCTCAACTATTTTGTTTTGTTAACGCCCTCCCCCCAACACTTTCCAATGGAAATAAGTCCTTAACCATGTACTTATTAATCAAAAGGAATGCGATGAATATTACAGCATTTGTATGCCAGCTTTGGTTGCCTGCTGCTTTGTTTGGGTGTCACAGGCTGTGACTATGACAACCACAAGCAGTTATTGGACTGATGTCATTTGTGACATCATGCTCAATGGAAAAGAAAGGAAAGAGACACTACCAAGAAAAAAACCCACCACTCCCCTACAGAACAAAACCTGCTTTCTTTTCATCAAGTGCTGTCAACTCCTGTCTACTGAGCAACATCCTGAGGGACCACTGTGGTGGGTGCTGCTGGAAGGCCAGACGGGGTCAGCCCCAGAGTTGTCCAGGTCAGGCCGGTGTTGAGCTTTTTGGAAAACCCATGCTCTTCCCCTCCTCTCCAACTTGTGTGGGACTGACTGCAGGTTCACACTTACATGGAGAAAATCTCTTCACCCTCTCCTGGCTGAGGAGCCACCCCATGATCCGCTAGGCGTGCTCCATCTCCACCTAAGCTGGTTTCCAAATCTGAGATTAAAGGAGGAACGAAGGGGTTTAGTTAAGCCTAGGTTCTCCTGACTAAATTTCTCTTGCTCTCCAACTAGTTTCTCCTCCCCATCTGTATTCTTCAGATACAGCAGTACTTCTTCCTCCCCGTTTTAAAAATTAAATACAGTCTGCCCAAGACTGCTGGACAATAGCGTGACTGAGCACAGGGGAAATTGCCATTGATTTTGTGACGAGGGCGCTGTTTAGCGAGGTGGGTTTTCTAGCAGAAATGACCGTTTCAGCCTTCAAGGAAGGCTGCAGCTAAAGCCAGATCTTTCACCTCATGCAAGAGGAGGCGGCAGCACTGCTGCCATATTTTGCACTGTCATCCCCATACATAGTGCCAGCGTTCAGAGGACGCACCACTGCCAGAGACTTTCTATGCTTTGTTTGCCTTTGCTTTGTTAGGAAGTTTGTAAATTCAGTACTCACGCTTCAAATACAAGACAAAAAAAAAAAAAAACACACCACACACAAACACACCCACACATACCCTAGAGTCTCCAAACTCCAAATCCACCCAAATCTCACCTGGCTAGGAATGGTCCGCCACGATAAGCATATCCTTTACAGCCACACATTGGTTCGGCACACACACAAGCTTCCCAACCAGGTATCAGCAGCGATTTGGTTCAATCTTGCATCATGAGAATGCAGGTCAGCCACAAGAAAATAAAATCCAGCTGTTTGCAGAAAACAGTTGGCAAATTTTCTACATTACTCATGAGAAACACTGACTACACGCTGTATGAAGTGTGCACATTTCTGCTGGACCTCCCGTATCTCAGCAGCCCAGCACCACAGCCTGGCCCAGGGACCCCATGCTGCTGGCTGCCCACCAACTTTTCCTCATACACAGCATCCCACGGTGAGAAAGCAACCACACCGTGACAATAGAGCTGCAGACAGTTCTCCTTCAGTGGACCCAGGCACAGCCTCCTCCTGCTTCCTCCCAGTGCTTAGCCCCTCTTCTCTCTCATGAGGGGGTGGCCCTGCCTTGTTACCCACAGAAAAAAACCCTGTGAATAGGATCTCGCCCAGTGGAGCAAAACAACATGGATATTTATGTTAAATAGCAGAGTCTGAATAAAAGCACTGCATAACACAGAGCAGGTGGGTTAACGTCTAACAGGTGAAGCAACTGCTGCGTCCAGCTCTCACCTTTGCCTCTTTCCTCAAGTTCATGTTCTCAGGCCAGCTGGGAACAGAAGCAGTTCTCCACACCAACAGAGTTTATGATCAGTCATAACACAGCAAACTGGCACCAGTCTTGGTCTCCCTTAGGTATGGCGGATGGCCAGAGCCATCCTGAACAACCTTGCCCAATGCCACCCCATGTAAGGGGACGCTACCTTGGGGAAACGAACAGACAGCCACATGCAGTTCCCTAACCAGCTTCCACCTCTACCCAGCTTCCACCTGAGGTTGCAAGTGAACACTCTCATCCTTCAGTCAAGAAATAGGTTGCATCTTCAGAGATAAAAGGAGAGTAAGCTGGAGAAGGGAAAACAGCAAAGAAAGTCTCCTTTCTCCATCAAGTCTCTCCAGGTTGAATGTGACAGCACACATTCCTGAATGCCTGCTCCCGAAATATTTTAAAGGACAGTACTAAAAATTAATGCGGAGAGCAGACAGAGGAGAAACTGAAGCTGGAAAAGCTTGGTTCCTCTACCTTTTGAGCAGCACATAAGTTTACAATCAGCATCACCCTGCTAAAACAACAGACATTTTGCATTCCCCAGTTCTTCATTCAGGCTTCTGTCAAAGTGTTTCATATGCCAGAGTACTAGGAGACAGGTAAAGGGGAGATCGCAGTCTCTTTCACCACTGAGCTGCAATACTGCAATAATTTCAGAGCCATCTGAGAACATTCGCAAGTTACCTGGGCAGCTTCCAAGCAGCATGCTATTCCGTTTTTATCTTTCACCCTCTTAACACAGCTACGATACACCAGAGGCACCCGCAGACTGCCTGCCTCAGTCAGCATCACTGCTTAGCTTTGACTTAGCAGACTACATCTACCCTGCAACTGCTGACCTGCCTTTGGAGAGCAGAACGCACAACGGAAACAAGTTGTCTCCTTGTTTATTCCACTTACAGCAGCAAACAGCACACAGATTCATTAGGACACTGAGATTCATTAGCAGACCAGACTTAAGAAATGCTTGTGGAGCAGAACCGTGCCAAATTTCAACACTGCCTACGGGGGGGGGGGGGAGGAAGGGGAGCAAAGCAGCAAACTTTGCTTGGAAGACAAGTGAACAGCATTTCTAACATATGGATATACTCTGAGAGATAATAAGTATGTAAACACGGCACCTTTCTAGCAGATGCACCCGAGACAGCTGTGGGGTACGTCTGCTGAATTTACTCACTTAAACCAGTTTCTACTCTTCCCACCAGGGCTGTAGAAAAAGAAGCCAGAGCCTGTTCTGTGCAAGGCATCAGAAGTGACTGGCATAAAATAAAAATCCCACAGCTTGATTAGCAAGCCTCACGTGGCAGTTTAAACACTAGGAGTATGGAGAAAACATTTTTGATTCAAAGGGAGAGCACGAGCTATGGAACTTGCTGAGGGAAAGATAAATACAAAAGATGATGGATGATAATAACTCTCTGTCCCTTTTCTCCCAGTTCCTGGACTCATTTCCAGTATCCTTCACAAGGGGCTGAAAATAAGATGCCCTATTACAGTTTCTTTTTCTTACCAATTTCTAAATACTAAATTCCTACCAATTTCTAAATACTTGCTAAGAACTTATTTTGCAATTTTAAAACACTTTTTTTTTTTTTTGGAAGATTGCTGGACTCAGTTTCTTTCCTGTTAAGAAAGCACAGTTTTCCCCCTCCCCCCTCCTTTTTTTTTTTCCCCCTCCAGGCTGATTTCAATTTAGGGTTTTATTCTGCTCTGGCCCAAATAGATTTGTGTTGGTGTAATAGAAAACAGGCTGTATGCCACTGAAATAAAAATGGAAACAAAATTCTGCTGATTTCCAAGTAACCATAGATTTCCATCACCATAGAGCATGGGTAAAAATGGGAGTTGGACTGATTTTAAAACTCAAGAAAACTATTTAACTATTCTACTGAAAAAAAGAAAACACACACACACATACTCCCCTTGCCCTAAATCTAGCTTTTCTCTAGCAAAGAGCAATGGTGCCATTAAGCTCCAAGTCCGATGCTTTGAACCAGCTAATTTCTGGCTGCTACCTACTGCTTCTTAACACTAGAGTCAGCACAAAGGACTTACAGAAATGCAAGCCCAGATCACCAGAGCAGCAGCACCCAAACACCCAAGCTGATTTTTAGCCCCATTCTTCCATAGCACTTCTTGGCTCCGGGCTCCAGTACAAGGAGCTCCTACCTGCACGTCCTCACCACACTGGGACACACAGCAGGGAGGCACTGGCCAGAGCTTCCTCAAGAGCCACGGTTGGTCCTAGTACAGCCCAGGTTGTCCCACCTGGCCAGCCTGCAAACCAGCTGCAGCTGGTGGAGCAGCCACAGCCCTAGCTCCTTCAGCAACACAGGGGAGAAGCCCATGGTGCCACTGCTCTTAAAATACGTGAGATACAGCCCCCACTGCTTTATGCAAGGGGAGGGAGCCAAGCATTCAGGTGTCTCCTGTGGCATAAAAGCTCCTCTGAAGTTATCCTGCTGTCTCCAGCAGGAGCATGATATTGCTTCCTACCTGCGCTGCTACTCAGTTAGTTTTCTGTTTAGCTGACAGACCTGGGTTGCCTTACGTACAAAGCCTTGCAGCAAACCTACGTTCTTTCCCCTTTCATAACGTGCAAGCTTTTTTGCTGAAGAAGAACTCCTTGTCTCAACTCGCCAACAAGATTTTGTCTTGCAATGGCTGGTAGGGCTTGAAAATAATAAACAAGCTTCAGATGGTGCTAATGGTCCATTCTGTTGACCATATTTTCAGTTAAATACATTCATGTGGTTCGTATCTGCAGTGAGATAATTATTCAGCCTATGTGGTAATACAATGCTGACTTTATTTTGTGGATTGCAAAGAGGTGCCAAAGACATATAACTGGTTCAAAAATACTGGATTTGCTTGCTGTAAACATTTCTTAAAGTGTCTTTTTTTCCCCCCCCCTTAATCTTCCTTCTGTTTGTGCAAGCTTGGTTTTCTCACTTAAAGGCAAAACAGAAAAAAAAGCTACTCACAGCAACGTATTTCTTACATCCTGGGAATCTCAGTGCTTATACCTCTTTGAAGGTGAGCAGAACTTCAGACACCTACAGAAGAGGAGAAAATCTAAGTAAATCAGGAAAAAAAGGAGAAAATAACATGCATCCATTCCACTCTCTGACTGGCCGTTTAGTTTTTTAAAAAGCACATGGGAACACTGACAGACAGGAATTCCCGCAATCCCTTTTTCACTGACCACGACGAAGACAGAAGCAGAGCTTAAAAGATTCAGCGCTCCAACCCCGCTGCAGTAACACTACATACCTTGGGGGCCTCCTGGGGGGCGGAAAAAAAATCTACATTTCTTAGGCCAAGCAGGCAGTGGGGAACACTCATCCACTGGTGCCCTAAGACACTGCTGCTTGAGGCTTATGCTGGACCCACAAAACATCTGCTCCAAGAGTCACATATCAGAACAAGCTCTGTTTGGCTAGTGGGAACTTTGACAAAATGCCATCTGGCCTGTTGCACCTCTCCTCCTTAAAGGGTCTCACCTGCTGTGTCCCAAAGGTGCAGGTATGCTTTATCCGTTTTTACTTTTTTTTGTCTAAAGAGATGAAAGGGGAGAGTAAGGTTTAGCTTCAGCAGCCACAGCAGCAGAACGGATATAAAAAAAATTCTCCCACTCTGGTGGCGACTGCGCACGCGTGTGTACACACATCTGAGAAACAGCTTGCCTGAGGGTCGGCAAGGAATAGGTGAGCTCTGAGAGAAAAGCAATGATCATGGGACTGCTCTGAGTAAAAGAAATATATTCAGCAAAATGCCCTGCTTGTCCCTCAAGAAAGGAGACAGATGCTTATTGATTACTTCAACAGTACCAGGAGCAAAACCTTCATTTTCAACTCAAGCCAAAGAATTTAAGGTTGGAACTTCACTCTCGCCTTGTTTTCCGGATAGAGAAGGGTTAGTTGGGAAATCTGAAAGCAAATCACTTTTTTTGCTCCTTCCTAGCAGGTTAGGAAGATATTTCCTGGCTCTTTTTAAAGGAAGATACGACTCGCTTTCCTGAAAGAGCACCATAGCTACTCAAGTAGCTGGAAGGCCAGGAGCTGTTATAAAACCAAAATCACTTTTTAAAGGCTAGAATAGAAAAAGCTGCACGTTTATTCATTATTAAAGAGGAAACTGCTTTTTATTTTGCTCCATCTGAAAGTAAGGCAAAACATTGGTTTCCCTGAATTGCAAAAGAGAAGTAAACACATAGAACAGCTATGGATTTTGTGCTATTTAAACCTCCAACCCTTTTTTGGCTCTTCTGCTGGCTGGCCCGTCCCTCTTTTGGGGCAGAATCCCCCATTCTTCCATATTAGGTTACATGGCAGGTGTAAAACATTTTCTGTATTTAATGCGCTTAGTCCAGTATCTTGTACTGAGTTCTCTATCTGACATCTTTTCTTTTCAGGGCTGTGACCAAAGCACAAAAGCGGCCAGACTTGCCAACAAGACCAAGCCCACCCCTATGAATAAAACGTTTTGAAGAGCAACACAGTCGCCTGTAATGCTAAGTAGTCCTGTCTTTCCCCTGGCCTCTGACCTCTCTGTTCCCAAACCCCTTCCTTCAGGGCTTGTCTTTTAAAACCGGCAAACTCTTCTTCTGGGCCACCCAGGCCCCTATGGTCCTGCTGCCCCATCCCACCCCAGCAAGCTCAGCACAGCCTCAGCACCGAAACTTGGAACTACGCAGCTCTTGCCTCGTGAATTAACTCCTACGCTTTCATACGCCGAGCCCCCTTTACTACCCTTGGCCCCAAAACATTGCAGAATAGCCACTTATTACGACCGGCGGTTCCAAGACTACCACGCTTCTGCTCTGAGGGAGCTGGTCTCCTGTAAAGCACTTTGATTTGGGACATCAGCCAGAAGAAAAGTCCCCATTGCCCAACCCTTTCTAAGGAAGGTGAATTAAAAAAAAAATACACACACACACACATACGGTGCTGCTGCTAGTTAGGATTGTATAACAAGTCTCACAATCTTTAGTGCTTTTCCTGAAGGCCCAGTTGTTGAAGGCAACAGTTTCTGGTATGATCTCAGGAAAGAAAACCAGGAAAAATTCCCCAGAGTTATTAAATCCAATCCACTTGCTGTTGCGCTCTTCAGAATTCATGTAAAAAGTTTCTATAGCCCTTGTGGCTGTGAGAATGTGATTTAAGTGTCACATAACTGCTCAGAAACAAGTTTCTTATACATTGGGGATCTTTTAAATAGTCTCATGGTTTTGGGAGATCTGCTGCTGCTTTTCAAAATCTTGAGTCAGGCAATATTGAAATAAATTGTAATTTTTGCAACGTTTTTGCAATAGGTCAGTAATTAACTCTGAAAAGGAAATGGATCTTGCCCAAGTCTGTTCATCTTGCGTTTGCCTACCTCGGCAGTTATATCCCAAATGGCTCTTCTTGAATAACCTCCCAGGCGGGCACGCTTACTCTAAATCAGCTTACATCAGGGGAAACAGCACATTTTGGCATGAAACCATCACTTTCCTCAGGTGTGTCACTACCGCTGGATCAGGCTAATTCAGAATACGAGCTCTCCGCTCCAGGAAAAAGTATTCCTACAGGCACCCTAGCGAGCGCACGTGCGAAACGCCTCGCTGTGATTTACGAATCGCCGTACGCCACCTGATTCCCAGGCGTTGCCTCCGCGGGCGGGCGGCACGCAACCCTAGTCTGCAGCCTGCGGACAACAACGCAAATTACGGGAGCCCTCCTTCCTCTTCTGCAGGCCGAGCAAGTTCGCTCGGAGGCTGCGGCGGCGCGACCGACCACAAGCCCAAACCCTGCTTTGTCGCCCCAGGTGCTTTCCAAAATAAACAGCAGCTCATGACGGAGTGAGACAAACAGACAAGCAGAACGATTTTAGAAAGTATGTCACTGCAGAAACCCGAGCGCCCCACGCGGTTTCGGCAACCTGGACACCGCAGCACCAAACACCTGGAAACGGGATTATTTTTCATTGCTCCTAATGCCGTTTCCCAAATAACCAGATGGTTCGAGAGCTCTTTGGTGAGGTAAAGAGCAAATCCGGAGCTGGCGTTAGGGTGGAGAAGAGAAATAACTGTACTTTTTAGCAGCTTGACAGTAAAGTCCCCTTGAGACTCTCTCAACCGAAGGAAACGATCAATTTTGCAAAAGAACATTTTGCAGAGAGTAACGGAGCCGGGAGTCCTGCAAGCGTCGCCTTCCCCAACTGGGCTCAAGTCAAAGAAAAAATAACCCCGAACCGCTCCCGACCTCCGGGACAGACGCCAGCCGGGCGGCCGCGGCCCGCGTCGACGCGAGGCGGCTCCGGCGGGCCA